CAGAACACACACAGCACAGGACACACACACACACACACACACACACACACACACACACACACTCCTATGTACCCTCCTCACCCCCCATTCCATTATTTCTCCTCACAAAATGCTTTCCTGCTTTCCTCCCCATGACGTGCTTCTGCCCCTTACAGGTGATCAGAAAGGTGGTGCGCCGTGTGTTCAACACGGAGGAAAAGAGGGAAAGTGAAGGCGAAACTTTTGCAGAAGAAGGAGCTGCTGCTGCTGCTGCTGCCGGTGTTGGTGTTGGTGTTGGTGGTGGTGGTGGTGGTGGTGGTGGTGTGGCAGCAGGTGGAGCAGACACTGCTTCAGCAGGAGCAGGAGCCACAGGGGGGAAGGGCAAGAAGAGGGGGAAGCGCTCCCGACAGGGCCACAAGGCTGAGAAGTCTGGAGAGGAGGCCCAGAAAGGGAAAACTCAGGTTGGCGTTAAAACCAACCGCTTAACTTAGTTAGCTGAGCTATCGCAGCCCACTTACACCTGCATGAAGCTGTAATTGTATGCAAACACTAAATCAAGTCACTCAGAATATTAACACCCAGCTCTGCAGACCTACACAGCGTTTAGCTCAGTGTTTTTCTTCATATTTAAGGCAGATTCGTTTAAGTATTCCCTGAATTGATCTTGGACTATAGAGCACTTTTGATCCAGGTTCAACTGGATTCAAATGTTGGAGCTACAAGCTAGCTTAGCCAAGCTCAAGAGCAAAGTTATGCCAGAATGAGTGTACAGCTATTTTTTGTCATTAGAAGATGAAGAAGAGGATGGCGCCTAAACTTCCCATCATAACTTAGCCAAGACATGTCAGACTACACTTGTTTTTGGTCTTTCATGACTTGCTTATCGAGCTAAGGTGATCATTCAGAAGGGGCCACAGACAGACTTCCATGACCTTCCATCCACTTAAACGCAGGAAATTCTAAAAATAAAAATAAAAAGCAGTGGTTTAAACAGTCGTGGATGGAAACGTTAACAATAATTCACACTTTATGGAGATTTGGTTAAAATATGCGGTACATATGGTACATGTAACCTAGACGATATTAAACTAGACGAAAGCAAAAAAAGGCAAATTCTGACATGCTGGTCTTTCCGTTGGGCTCATGCTGTGAGGTCTGATCTCTGAATGAATCTGAGCTGCAGTCTGTGAAGTGCTGTATAATGGATTACAGTGGCCTTACTGTCTGTATACAGGTTGTGCCGTTTGCAGTGGTTTTGTCGTGCCGTGTGTTTCCCGGAGCGTATGTTAGCCACTGGCTCGTTGATTGGTCTTGAGAACTGCTAATATTACAAGTGTTTCATCTAATATAGAATTTCTCTCTTTTAACATGTATTGATGCATGTGTGATTATGTTTGCAGTCATTTTAACATCCCTATTTCTCTCCTTGAATTGTCTCTCTTCCAGCACGCTGCTGTGATCTCCTGACAAACAGTAGTTGAGCTCAACCGCGCTTCACTAACACACACTGGTTCATATTTACCCGAGCACAACACTAACTTTTGGTTTTCTCTTTCTCTCCCCTTTTCCTTTCTGTTTTTTTTTCTTTGCTTTTTCTTGATGAACCTCATTCTCTCTCTACCAAGCCTGGAGACGGCGCCAACAAGAAACAAGGGAAGAAGAGTCAGTCGTAACAGTAGAGCTCTCAACTAAACCAGGTAAGATACTAAAAGCTTGACTATTAGCAATAAATATCAATCTGTGAAACCAAAGTAGTGGAATGGTTTACAATGTCTCTTTATAAATGTATTTTAGCACTAAGATTAATTATACAACTATATTCTCAGAGTGTTAAACATGTTTAAATGAAATGTTTTTCAGTCTTTTTGAAAATGTAAAATTGCAGCTAGTGCATTAAAAACCCCACTAGGGGTCACCAAAGCTTTGTCAATTTGTCAATAAATAGCCTAGTAAATAAGTATGATTTGTATACTTAATACATAATACATATAAATACAGTATTACTTTGTATAAAAAATAAACAAAAACCTCTAAATCTCTAAACAATATTTATAGGAATTATCTGGTTGAAATTCATCCAAATCACTCATTTAACATGGCCTTAATGCAGTTATTGTGGTCACTATTGGAATGTTGGGAACCACAGTACTAATCTGTCACATATTTTTAATTGATTCGTATATAAAATGTCAGAAAATAATTTTAAAAATGACCACCGGAGCTCAATATGGCATTTTTTTCAGTTGTCCAAAAGCCAAATATACTTAATTTACAGTGAAATAAAACAGACCAAATCCTCAAATTTCACAAGCTGGAATCAGTAACTGTTTTAACATGTTGCTTGGAAAATAAATAAAATGATTGATCGATTATAAAAAAATGTGTCAACCAACTAATTCTGAATCGTTTCAGCACTATTCTGAATACTGCAAAGTTTTCTGTAAGCATACATCTGTGGCACTGAACCCCTACAGTATTGATCAATTTATTAATGTAAGCTTGTACTCTTTTACCCTCCAGGTCCACTGACGTCCACCTGCGACACATCACACCCTGGGAGGAAAAACGGACTGGAAGCCTCGTCAATCGGCCAAAAACGTGTCTGAAGCTTTCACTTACAACGCATGGTTTTTACAGCAAGACGACGCAAAACAAGTTACTTTTCTTTGATTTCGCATGAGCATGTCACCAAAACACACTCACTGTTGGAAACGACACCGAAGGACACGCACGGACGTGAGTTGGAACTTTCTTATCTTTGATGAACGAAAGGCGTCCGTGACCAAAGACGGCACAAACGGGAAAAAAAAAAGCAAACTGACAGATAAGGAAGACGTGTGATTCACTCTGTCAGACACTCGCCTTATTATGGTTTATTTTTTCCTCCTGGACCCACAGTATTGGGGTGTACCATGTGGTTCTGTTTTTTTAAAAATGAAATATAATAGTAAATGGGTGATTTTGTTGTATATAAATGACACTGTATAAAATCTGAAAAAAAAAAAAGACAAAATCAGTAGCTTCACAGATTGTTTATGCACTGATTTGAGTTGATGAAGCTTTGCAGAGTTGGTGCATTTGTATTGAGAGGTCGACACTGTTTGAGCAGCCTTGAGTGTGTGACCTGACATGCTCTTCCAAATGAATATAAAAAGGAACAAAAAAGCTGTATGTAAACGAGAAACGAATGGAGATTTAAAAAGAAAACAACAAAAAAAACCTGCTTGATTTTAAACAGGACGTTTCTTTAACAGCTTCTTCCACTCTCTGTCTGTGGGACATTCTTCAGAGAAATGATATTTTGCTGCATGTGACGTCACTTTATTTTTAACGCTTTCTGTTTTTTCTCCTAATTCAAAAGCACTGTAATACAATTAGAGAGGGTTTGATGGTACTTCTGTCTATGTGAGCACTCATAATAACCCAAACCATCTGTCATCTATAACTGTTTTTATTTTAATTTTTTACAAAAATGGAAACACACACACACTCCACACTCGAGTGGCGGCAGATTGCTTCATTCTTACGCTTCAGGAAGGTCCCCGAATGTAACCTGCAGACTGGTACGTTGTGTTATCTCCAAACTGCTAGCAGCCCCCGTGTGTGTGCAACATCAAATAAAAATGTCTATCTGTAAGCCCATCATGCAAACTAGACGTGTACGTTTAAGCTTTTAAGTCTGCTGTGGTTTTAAAGAGGGGACTGTTTTCATTTTGACGGTTTGATGACTTTTATCTTTATTTAATTGGTTGTAATTACATGAGAACAGAGAATCTATTTTTTAGCCCCATCATCCAAATCTAATCATTTTTACTAAATCACATTACTGATCACACATTGGTAAAAAATCTGATTTTCTGTTCCTGTGTAAAACTGTTTGTCTTTTTTTCATACAAACCACCCCAAGCATCCACTGTTGATGATAAATCTGGTACCAACATGTATGACGAACCAACATAGCCTACACTGGATGATCCAAGTAATTATTTAAGCAGAAAAATAAATTGTGTTTAAACTGAACGTCTGTGAGTCGGTCTGCTTTCTCCCAGTTGATTATGCTTTACTTCATGTATTCAGTGGAGTTATGGGTTCTTCAGTGGTCGATGCCGATATTGAGACAGCAGGACATATATATAATGCGGGTATCGAAACAAAGAATAGTCATGAGGCACATTACAATCTAATATACATCATTATCTCAGTGAGTAACATGTTTAAATTGAATTTTTATTCATTATTAAAACAGAAAAATACATTGGTTAACGCTGTAGATTTCAGAATGTGACTGGTATTTAAGAGAGAGTGTGGTACAGTATAACAGAATCGACGTCATTCAACTGCATCATTATAATTATAATATATAATGTTAGCCATTAACAGTTTTAGATTAGTTGTGCTGTCACTTAGGTTGGGAGAAAAGTGCACCTGAAATGGAAATCTAATTTTTCTTCAGGATTTTCTTCTCTCAAATTTGCTTCCACATATTTACGTATTTCCTGTAAAAACAGGCAGCTAGGGAGTAGCTGATAGCACTGCGTGTTAAGTTCTCCCAGTAAAGCAGCTATAGCGGATCCATTAGATCCATTAGATGACTCTACCAGGACCCAGTGAGCAGCACGTCCAGACCAGGACGGAATGCAGGCTGTTACTTTGGGTCTCCTGGCTGCTGCACTTTTCATTTTATCTGCAACACGTTCATATGAAATAAATATCTCTTATGACTCATATATATGTGTATGTATCTATATTATGTTGTTTTTGATTCAGATCTGAACAGGAGACACGTCGTTCTCAGGTTGTATCAAGTAAACAGTGACAAAAAGAGAGATTTCCTGCATTTATTGAGGGTTTTAAACAAACTGTAGAACCATCTTGTGTGATTTTGGAAATAAAAGACAATTGTGAAATGAATATAACAAAACAGTGAAATTATAAATAATATATAAGTAAAGGGGAAACCAATATTTGATATTTTCACACAAAATTGTAACAACTCTCCATTAAGGCAAGCTCTACTTTTAAAATAAAAAACACAATCTTGTGATAAGGTAAAAACACATGCATATGGTGATATCTGATATGATTTACAGTATCATTAAACACTTCTTTGAATACTGTTAAAGCTTTTAGCATTTCTGGATTGGATTGTTTAATTTTTGTAAATAAATCTCTAAATATTGATGATGTGATATTTAAAAAACAAAGACTGTGAAGAAAAAATAAAATCTGAAACAGTACATGTGATTTTGGATTGAGCCAAAGCTTCTCAGACTAAACCAAATGTTTAAAGTCAATCACACAAATAAACTCTGAACATCAGAGTGCTGATTTACAGGATAAACTTTAAACTGAACATCTTGCTGAGATTAGACTGGTTAGTTACCACTGGAGATTTCTTTAGAAAAACTCAAACAAACAGAAAAGTAGTTGTAATAAGTGCAGTCTTGGTGCTCTCATAGATCATAAAGAGGTTCCTTAATCTTTCTGTAAATAATTTAGGTGATTTAAGTGAAGTCATTCTGCAATATGGTTACTTTCTGAATCCCCACCCATCACACAACAATTAGATTTGGTGTTTTCTGAATTAGAAGATTCAGAAAATGTTGTACTTTAGTATGAAGCCTCAGTTAGATGTTCCCAATTAAACCTTTGCCAACCTTTCCCTGTAGATGTCGGGATACGAGTTCATTTCATGTCCGAAGACTTTAGGCATCAGTGCAGGCTTTAACAATGAACACACAACTAATACCAGAACCAGTTTCAGTGAGCTGATGGAAGAAATGTGTATTAAAATGAGACTTTTTTATAATTTCACACTAAAGATTTAATCTTCCTGAAGGAGGTATCGATGTACGAAGACTCGTTAAAGTTGTGTGAGTTAGCAAAATAAATCTTAGGTTTACACTGAATACAGCTGGAAATATGATTGTTATTTATTTAATAAATGATTAGAAATGTTTCTTTTTAAACACGTGAGACCAGGTGTATACAACAAATAAAAATGTGTGTCTAACTTTAGCCTAGTTTCAGCACTGTAATTTGATTATGTACCCTTTAAAGGAACAGTTCAACATTTAGGAAAGATTTGCTGTCTTTCCATCAGGTGTGTACATAATACAGATTTAGAGGTACATTTTTTTTAAACTTTGGACAGAGCCAGGCTAGCTGTTTCCCCCAGTTTCCAGTCTTTATGCTAAGCTAAGACAAGATAGCAGCATCACACAGAACACAAAATATCGTACCGTGCCTGGAACTAGGCAATATTTGGTATGTTTGCATGAAAAATGACTACAACTATTAATATCATTTCATCTCAATCTTGGAAAGAGCGCAAATGTGCATTTCCTAAAATATTGAACATTCCTATAAGAGCACTAAAGACTCGTCAGTTGCGTGGAATCGTCCCCGTGGGTCTGAGCGTGTCTCTTCAGGTCCTCTTTCCTCAAGAATCCTTTGCCGCAGACGCTGCAGCAGTGCGTCCGCTCCCCTTCGTGGACGCCCATATGTTTGGTCAGCGAGCCGCTCGCCGTGAAGCTTTTCCCACAGACGTTGCACAGATACGGTTTCTCTCCTGTGTGGGACCTCATGTGGATCTTCAGCGCTCCGCTCTTGTAGAACTTTTTGTCGCATATGCTGCACCGGTGCGTGGACTCTCCCGTGTGGATCATCATGTGCGTCTTCAGAGTCCCCCTCTGCCTGAATCCTTTCCCGCAGACGCTGCAGAGAAACGGTTTCTCCCCAGTGTGGATCCTCATGTGAGCCATCATATATTCTTTGAAGCTGAAGCTCTGGCTGCACACGCTGCAAACGTACGGTCTCTCCCCCGTGTGAACTCTCATGTGCCCCATCAGGTTTCCGTTCTGAGCGAACGCTTTGCCGCAGACGGTGCAGACGTACGGCTTCTCTCCCGTGTGGGTTCTCATGTGCATCTCCAGCTGATTGTGGCTCTCGAAGTGTTTGCCGCACACTTCGCAGTCGTTTGTTCGGATGTAGGTTTGCAAATGAAGCCTCAAGCTCTCCTCGGACTCAAAGCGCTTCCCACACACACCGCAAAGGTCCGTGTCCCCCTCGTCTTCTTGCACGTGCTTCAGAAAAGAGGCTCTGTAGCAGAAGGACTTGCCACACACTTTACAGCGGTATTTCAGGTGGGATAAATCCTTATTTCTAGATCCCTTAGGTTTGTTTGATCCTTGAGGTTTTGTTCTGGACTTTTCTAAACAAGATCCTTCTTTGGTCTCATCTTTCTCGTTCTCTCCGTCGTCACTGTCAGTCCCCTCGCTTTCCCTCCAGTCCTCATCGCTTTCGCCCACTTTGCTCTGGGCGTCCGAGCCCTCTGCCTCTGACTGTCTGTCATCGGTTTCATCCCTGCAGATGTATTCTTCGTTGTGGGTCCGTAAATGCACCTTCAAGCTCTTGTCGGAATCCAGATGTTTTCCACAGGCTCCACACAGATCCGAACTCTGCTCGTGCTGGAGCACGTGTTTCAGAAAAGAGCGTTTGTACCGGAAGAACTTCCCGCAGACTCTGCAGCAGCTCTGTCCTGTAGTTTGAATCTTGTTCGTTGGAGCCATTTTTCTTGTTTGTTTTTTCATTTTCTTCTCTTTGAGGAAAGGCGCTCCACATGTTTTGCAACAATCTGCATCCTGAAATGTTTTTCTTTTGTTTGATTTGAGAGATTTCTCATTTAGCTCTTCATCACTATCGTTGTCTTCACTTCCAGCTTCTGAATCCTTTGATGACAGAACCTCCCCGTCGCTATGCGGCAGCCCTCGCCGCTCTCCTCGTGTCTCTGTTTCCGTCACAGTTGAGGTGCCCTTTTCCGCTCTCTGCATTCGGTGAGGATGTGAGGTGTTACTGTGGGTTAACTCAGAGCCTGTCTCCGTCGATGCGTCTTTAATCTGTGGTAATTTTGATGTTTTCTGGACCTGGCTGGAGCTTCTGCTCTGCTCACATTTCTGCTGCTCAGAGGAAACGTCTTGTTCACGGTCCAACCCAGAGAGCGGCAGTCTGTCTGAAGGGAAGATCCAAGAGGAAAGGTCATCTTGGGCATACTGTAAATTAACATAAATACCAACTTCCAACACTATCCCCTGTAGACTGTGTGTGCATGAGCAACAAAAGATGTATCACTAATTACACTCATGCAGAGCTGTGCCAATAAATGACAATAGATATCCTGTGATGATAGAAAAATGTCTATAATTTAATATTATGTTTTATTGTTTATTTTGCTGTGTCACAAATCATACTCTCAGCAATATTTTTCATTATTTGTGAGTAGAAGTGATTCTTCTAAGCAGGAAATTTGCATGAAGGCAACAAAAATAAACATGGACGACAGTGAATGTGACACAGGAAGGGGTAAATCCGAACAGGAGAAGGACTCCGACCAGCTGAGACAAAATAAGGAGCTTGTATGGGTAAAAAGGTGAAAAGTCTGACACAGAACAAAAAAACTGTACCATACACTAATGCAACTATAGTGGATTCTTTTCTATTTACCTTTTTATGTTCTATAGGTTAATATTTTATATTTTCTTACATTTTCTTAATTTTGCCTGCAATGCATCTATAACCACCCTCATTTGTTGTGCACTGTCTAATAATTTATCAAATGATGCCAATCAATAACAACTGTAAAAGAATGAATAATTCTTGCAATATAAACATTAGTTCGCGAACAATGTACCTGTTGTGTGTAAATTTGTCTCCGTTTTCAACGTGATGTCCAGCAGTTGGCGATGTCCGATCTCCCCGTGGGAACTGGAGACCTCGGCCTCATATTCAGCCATCATTATCTCCAGGATCCGAAAGATTTCGTCTGCGACCGCCGACAGCTTCTTGTGTACAACCGCCCTCTGCTGCTCAGGGGACATTTCTGTAGGAAGGACGAAAGGAGACATCTTGTGTTCAGCAGGAAATCTTTAGAAATGAACTAAATTAGCATATTTATAGATTCTGGAATTTTTAATGCGGTAGAAGGAGTAGATGTCGTTTTAAGGATTGTGGAGATAACATCTTTTACAAAAAGCACACAAGGTATACCTCCTTGTCTTTTATTGTGTATTTTTTATTATTGTTGCTTAGAAATTATTTTACTTATTTGGATCTGATATTTTTTATTTTACTCTTATATTCTGTTTTTAGGGTGACTTTGTAACATCTGTCCAGAGACTACAGATGAAAAATAGCCTCTTGGTTAACTCAGCAATATACAGCAATATTTTATTAATGTGAATTGTCCATGCTAATTTAAGTCAAGTCCATCAGCTGTGACCCTCCTCAATAAGAGCCTGTTTAAATAGGCCCCTTGGAACTTGTCTGACCTCATTATAATATACATTTATTTTATATAGTTTTCATTATTATTATTTATGTTAATACTGCTGTATAGTGTTGTTATGGTTACGAAGGCTTACATGCCAGTCACTTGCCATTCAGTCACTTTCTATCATAGAATTATTGTGTACTGTAATGTATTGTTGGGTGAAGTGTTTGTTGTCCTACACGCCAAAGACACATTTCCATTTAATGTACATTTGATGGATTATAAAGTAATTTAAAAAAGAATTTTCACTGGGTAAAATAGCTGTATTATTTTAAAGGAAACTTTTGTTATTAAAAAAAAAATTGCAATTTGCAAAAACAGATAAAATACATTCCTAAAATTAATAAACCAACTCCAGTTTGATTGATATTCCCTTGAGTGCACAAAAAAAAACATGATTCAGGAAAATAAATAAAAACGGAGATATCTGATTTTACAAATCAACCCTTAAAACATTCTCTACAATACACTGGTTGCTTTTTATGAATGATCAGCCAATAAATAAATGACTAGGACTATAAGTTGATTTAATGCAGTGTTTTTAAAACCTGGTTCATTTGGGATGGCGTCACCAGTTATTGCATAATCGATTGGCTGAACAGTGAAGTCATAAAAAGATATAGGTGCAAGTAAAGCATGTGCACTTCAGAATGAAGACTTCCTATGATAATAAAAGCTGTGCTGTGTTTCCCGACCTGATGAGTGCAGCAGCTTCCTCTCTGTTATCAGGAATATCTCCTCCGCAGCGGCCGCCAGTCTCTCGGACACCAACGCCTTCAGCACCTGCACTTTACTCATGGTGGACCGGTAACGTGTTTATTTAATGTGAGAGCATTGTGAAAGCTCACACACACACACACACGCACTTTACGAGCCACAACAACAAACAACCCAGGTGGAAGAGCTTCCGGGTTCGTTTTGTTCTGTTCCGATATGTTTAAAGCTCAGCGTTTGGTGGCAAAACACCGCCACCCTGTGTTCTTAAGTGGTACTACAACCACACACACACACACACACACGCACGCACACACACACACGCGCGCGCGCACACGGTAAGGTGGTAAGGCTCCTTGAATGACAAGTTTTTTTGTAAAGAAATACATTTTCACACACTTTTCATAAATCAGCTTTATGAGGAGCAACAGCAAGAGCAAATACATTTGGGGAAAAAACATGCATATTATCTTAATATCTTAATATAGTTACAAATTCTATTATATAACTACCCTTAAGTCAAGGACTCAAGGAATCAAGGAAAATGATCCATCATTATACAACAAAAGGTTGTA